CCGTGTCTGTCACCCGCTTCCCCCGGCACTGTTGTCCCCACTAGGCCGCATCAGCCCCACAGGATTCGTCCCCCTCCTCAAGGCCTCGTCCCCGTCCTCCAGGCTTCATCCCCCTCCTTGACATCTTGTCTCCTTCTCGAGGCCTCGTCCCCCTCCTTGACATCTTGTCCTCTCCTCAAGGCTTCGTTGCCCTCCTCAAGGCTTTGTCGCCCCCCTCAAAGCTTCGTCGCCCCCCTCAAAGCTTCATCCCCCTCCTCAAGGCCTCGTCCCCCTCCTCAAGGTCTTGTCCTTTTTCTCAAGGCTTCGTCCTCCTCCTCAAGGTCTCTTGCCCCTCCTCAAGGCTTCATCCCCCTCCTCAAGGTCTCTTCCCCCTCCTCAAGGTCTCTTCCCCCTCCTCAAGGCTTCATCCCCCTCCTCGAGGCTTCATCCCATCCTCCAGGCCTTGTCCCCCTCTTCCAGGCTTTGTCCCCCTCCTCCAGGCCTCGTCCCCCTCCTCGAGGCTTCAACCCCCTCTTTGAGGCTTCGTCCCCCTCCTTGAGGTCTTGTCCCATCCTCAAGGTCTTGTCCTTTCCTCAAGGCTTCATCTCCATCCTCAAACCTTTGTCCCCCTCCTCAAGGTCCTGTCCCCCTCCTCAAGGCCTCGTCTCTTCAAGGCTTTATCCCCTCCTAAATGTTTTGTCCCCTCTTCAAGATCTTGTCCCCCTCCTCAAGGGTTGACCCCCTCTTCAAGATCTTGTCCGCTTCCTCAAGGCCTTGTCCCCTCCTCAAGGGCTTTTCCCCCTCCTCAAGGCCTTGTCCCCTCCTCCAGGCTTCATCCTCCTTCTCAAGGCCTCGTGTGTCCCCACAGGCTTTGTTCTCCCCACTTCAGGTGATGTCTCCATAGGCCTTGCTGCTCCCCAGCCTCACCTCCTCATGACCTTGTTTCCCTCCTCAGGCCTTGTCTCCCCACCATCTCCACCCCTCCCAGTCTGCTTAAACATGGACGATCCTTTCCCTGTCCGCGCAGCCCCCCTCCGCCCCAGACCCCTCTCAGATCCCCCTCCTTTGCCCATGTCCCCAGCAAGCAGGGCGGTAAGCATAGCTGTCCACGGCATTCCCTGTTTTCCCGGTTTATCTGGCTGTTCTCATGCCCTCGTGCCACCCCTTCTGTCATCTCTCGTAGGCCACCGTTATCAGCCCACCAGCTGCCTCACATCCCGCACTCTCTGCTTTGTACGCACTCAGCTGGAAAGGCAGCTGGTAATTTGGGGCTGTTCTCTCCCCCATTCTCCTTGGGACAGGGGTGGCCCTGGGCATGTACACGGCCTGGGGTGCTGGGGCAGAACTTTTGGTGTCCAAGTGGGTGGATTCAACTCTCAAAGCATCACTGGAGTTTGAATTCTAAAGGCAGCTTCATGGTCACTCCCCC